CGTACTCCAGAAGTGCTCCGGAGATTGCGATGATCAAACATGGACTGCCTCTGAACGTCTTTTGCACGAACAGGCCAAGTCTTGCAACCGTAAAGCAGGACCGCTCTCACCGTGGCATTGTAGACTCGGCACTTCAAAGATATACTTAGGTCGCTTCGACGCGAGAGATGGCGGAGATTAGTAAACGCAAGTCATACCTTAGAGACGCGCAAAGACCTCATCCGTTAAACTGTTAGCGCTGATGCAGTTTCCGAGGTAAACGAACTTGTCTACCGCTACCAGAGATCTAGCTGAAAGGATAACAATGGAAGCATCTCGTAACCAGTCCTGTACAAAGATCTTACACTTCGAAGGGGCGACGGTCATTCCATACTGCGAGAGAAACACCTCCAACCTGCACAAGACAGGGTGGCCTGTGAGCAATCGCAGCTTACGGCGATGTGGTCTGCATACTCCAAATCCCCCAAGTCGGTCCACCGGAAGCAGCTCAACGGCTCTTAATTACCAACTCATCTATCTATTCAATGATGTCACCGGTGGTAGACGTGCAACTTTTGAAATTAGTTCACATATTTAAGAAAATGAAACTATTTTCATGAATCGGCGACTTCTGCTGCGCCAGCAGTAATTTCCAATCTATTCTAGCCTGAAGCTGAATCATTTGCAACTTGAGTCATTGGCACTCGGACCAATAGTTTGCTTCTGTCAGCCTCACTTGGGATAAATCCATCTAGAGCCCCAGTTTGAAAACTTGATGCGACAATTAAACGAGCTGACACCCACATCGCCATTTGCCAATGATACTTTCAGAACCACCTTAGTTCCTCTTTCGCAGCAGTGCATGAGTTATAAAACCAAATCTTTTAATGTCCTGACTGCGAAACACAGAGAAGCCATCAAGGTATCAAGATCAAATCCTGATTTGATAACTTCTAAACCTGATAATGGCTCGGGATGGTTAGTGATGGATAGATCCGACTACGTTTCCAAACTGCAGTCCATCATGCAAGACAAGAGTAAGTTCTTTTTTGAAACGATACAGAAAGATAAAACCACGCAGGATGAGCTTAAACTCACACAAGTGTACATATATTTGCAAGTGTTGAAAGAGCTGAAGCATGTGAACCAAATATATAGCGCACTACTTGAACAGCTAACTCCAGTGAGTTCCCAACCTTCACGTCTTTATGGACTATCTGAAGTACATAAACTACAAGTCCCTATGCATCCCATAATCGACATGCCAGCCTCGACCACTCACTCGGTTGCGGAATGGCTTGTGTGTTTGATCAGACCAATACGCAAGGAGTTATGCGAATACCACGTAAAAGACATTTGCATTTGTAAAACGAGTTGAATGCATGAAAGTAAATGACAAATTGATGCTCACTCTGGATGTTAAGTCCCTTTTTGTGAATGTTCCATTGATGGAGACTGCCACATTTATGTGTGATTACTTAAACCAAAAGATTATAGATGTGATTATTTCGGCGAGGAAATTGAAGGAATAAATTTTACGGTACACCTTTAACAGATAGCTTTTATTTAATGGAATCTTCTATAGACCGTTCGGTGGCGTCGCGATGCGGTCCCCCTTGGACCACTCCTTGCTGACACTTTCCTTGCTATGATTGCACGTGAACCTATACGACACATCATCGCTTCGTTTGATTTCTATTGTCGGTAAATGGATGATACGTTTATAGTCTGCGATCCAAACACTAATGTTTCCAGCCTGTTAAGCCAGTTACACAGTGGTCACCCGTCGTTGAAGTTCACCACCGAACGCGAAAATGATGGTAATCTAACCTTCTTGGACATATTGCTGACCCGGAAAATTGACGACTCATTATTTGTTTGCTGCTTGAATTTTCAAGCTGCGAAAATTTGCAGCCAAGGGACGCTGAATGACGAATAGATCCGTATTATCAAAACCTTGCAAGAAACTTGTTATCCAGCCCCGTTCATCAAAAAGTATGCAGTGATCCGCGATAGCCGTGAAGTGATTGCAACCGTTCCTAAGAAGGACGTGTTCCCATTAGTTCCCTACAAAGGCGATATTCCCTTTGCTCTGTTGAGCAGAAAAATTTCCACTGCAGGGACTCGGACCTTCCCGGTATCCTACCCACAAGTCCTTGCAGAAACCACTCCCTTTACAGCCCAACGTCTCAAACACAGACTTCCGGTTCAGTCCCAGTCCCACATTCTATATCAGTCTAACTGCACCTGTGATGTGAGGTACGTTGGACACACAACTAGGCGTCTGTCTAAACGCGTAGGGGAGCACTGCCCAGCGGCTTTGCGGAAAGGCATCGTCAGTCGCACCAACAGTTCCTTCCTGAAACATCTGGTCGAAAGTGGACACTAAATTAGGACCGCTGATCCCTTCATGTCTCTTAATGTCGTGTGGAAACGGTACCCCAAAGACTTTACGAAACAAATCCTACGGACGGTCGAAACGATCGAAATTTTGATAACGCAGTCGGAACTATGCAAAAAGAAGGCTTTGTCGCAAGGCCATAATTGGTCTGCCAACATCTACTGCTTCGCGTGCTAACTGTGGTCGGGTGGGGATCAGCTAGAAGTCGTTCAGAAATTCAACTACCTGGGAAGTTGTATCAGCGCCCTTAGGATCGAAGATGAGATCACGAACGGTATAGCAAAAGCTCGAAGTGCTTTTGCTAGTCTTCGCCACTATTGGCGGCGGCGCGACATCGCTCTCTCCCTGAAAAGTAGAGTGTACAATGCAGCGGTGCGTTCGATCTTACTGTACGGTTGCGAAACCTGACCCCTTAGATCAGCGGACATAAAGTGGCCAGTTACGTTCGACTACCGGTGTCTTCGCAGTTTGGCTCACATCTGGTGGGAACACCACGTGAGTAACGAGCGTGTTCGGCGCCTTGTTTACGGCACAGAAAAAGAAACTGAACCGCTCCGCACCGTCATTTCACACATCAGGCTCGGATGGCTCGGCCACGTGTTACGCATGCCAGCCTACCGACTCCCGCGACGTGCGTTGTTTGCTCACCGGGGATGTGGGTGGAAGAAGAGAAGGGGTGGCCAAGCGATGACTTGGTCGAGAGGAATGAAGGCCCTCACTTCGGAGCTGGCCTCGTTCGGTGCTTCACGGCTCCCTGCTTGGAGTCCAAAAGACGATGAACACGTTTGGCTGGATACACTTGCTGACATGGCAAGGGCGCGACCTCAGTGGCGTTGCTGCTGTGAGTTTCTTTGTCCTTCCCCATCTCTTTTAGCCTTCCCCTTCAACCACGCTCTCAACACTTAGCCTCATATAACTTTTCGTAGTAAAATTTTTTCTGCATCTTGGCCGGCTGGTAGCTTACCGGATCGATGCCCATCCGTTACCGGTAGCTCAGCTGGCTTGCATCTGTTGCATTTCCCCTTTCTTTAATGTGTTGCGACACAGTAGCTGAAGTGCTTTACACCTCTAGCTAACGTGTATGATGATGATGATGCACTTGGCATTTCACGGATCAACCAACACGTGCTCTGTCACCGTAGAGGATAGCTGACTTTATCTATCAAAAGTGAGTTTCTCACTGTCGTGATTCCACTAATTCCCTTTTTTGCTTCATAAACTCTTTGTGCTCTAACGTGCCGTTTTATAATTGTAAACGCCTGATGAGGTGTGTCGAAGAGTACTCCTCGCCAACATGCGTTCTTGGATTTCCAGTTTAAGAACCACGCCTACAAGAGCACTTTAAGCGTTTTTTCCTCTACGGCATCGTTTCCTCCATTGTTTAGCTGTCGTTGCTTACGGTGCTTCACTCCTGTTGAGTGATTTCGGTTTTCCTGCATTGATGAGGTGCACAGACGAATGTCGGACAACAGTGTTCTTTAGAACGCGCGCTACTTATCCACCGTTTTGTTTGTTCCATACTGCCTTTTGTTTCGACTGGAGCATTCGTTTAGTTAGCAATTAAGCTACTGATTGCCAGGCTCCTCCCACAATCAACACCAGTGGTGATGTCTCCCAGTCGGGCTGCAAGTTTAGAGCTTTTATACTCCTGTTATTTGTGGGGTGACGGTGACTGTGACGCGTAGCAGTGTAAGCTGCATGGGGGTTGCCTCGATACTCATCCGTCCGTGTGGTTTTGGTTATATGTCGACACATCCATCCTGAACATTTGTTCAAGGCATTTTCATTGTATATCCTGTCTCTCCTCTCCCCCTCTCTTTTCTTGTTTGTTTAAACTCATTATGTTCCTCGAATGTCCGCTTACCGCCCATCTCATGTTTTCTACCTTGACATTCTAGATCTAGTCCCTGGTTGGCAACTCAATGCAAGTAGAATGTAACACAACTGATAGAGAGTGGGTTGTGTCAGTACATGTTGTTTACCTCCTCAGATAGTGCCTACATCGTCTCCTTTCTAAAAGTCACACGACCCACGAAGTGCTTGGCTAAAATATTTGAAGGGCACAGATCGCTCCCAATACCAATAGTTCATTTACTGCCGTCCCCCGACCAGTCTATCTGTGTATGGTATGTATGTGTGTTAGTGTGAATGCCTCTAAGAGATTATCTCGGTGATGCTGTCTTTCCTGCGCATCAAAGCCACATGCCCCATAGCTTGTGTGTGTTATGGTAGCATATCGCTCCCCTAGTCTGGAATCCCTTCTTATATTACCTAGTGCAAATCACTCATGCACTGTTCCTGATGACATTAGGGCGAAGTAACATTGTTACGTCGCGGCTCTCCGAAAATGCGCATCCGCGAAGCCGCTTGCGAACTTTTGTTACGTTCTTTGTATTTCGATTATTGCACATAATTCTAACAACTGTCTCCTTTTCCCAACATGCATATTAATTACCACCCTAAGGGCGACATGACTGAGGTCAGCTGGACTCCGTAACACTCCTTTCGTAGTCACATTTGACCATCTGAACCAGAACATGCGTAGTGCCAGCGCCTGCAATATTTCAGCGCTGTCCCCGTTTGCGCTATTTGTGTAACTTATGTCTTTGGTCTTTTTCAGGTTGCACGCCGTACGATGTGCTAACTGTCGTCAGCCAATGCGCAGCCACGAGTTGTTTATGTGCGCTCAGACTCCTCGTAGCGCGGATCAAATCAACCCCCCAACGGAGCTCATCTTTCACGTGTCTTGTTTCACTTGTTCCGTGTGTCAACAACCCTTAGCTGTCGGTGACGCTTACACCGTCGACGCTGGATCAAATCGGCTTATTTGTCGGGCGGACTTCCTGGCATCTAGATCTCGGACGTTTTCTGTCCAGTCCCTCCTCTCCTCAGCCGGTTCTCCCTCCTTAGTTAGCCGGTCAGTGTTGCCCAAGCGACTCGTTTCCGGTTATGAATGCAGTGACAACAGTTCATCCAATTTCCACCCGTCAAGTTCTCCTGGCGCCGATCTGCCTTCAAACGGCTATCGGTCAAACGGCACGACAACATCAATGCAATTGTCATATACGCATTTGGACAGGGGCATTGGATGTAGCAAACGTGTGCGAACTTCTTTGACGGAGGAGCAGCGTTTTCATTTACAGAAGGCGTATGAACAAAGTTCACGACCGTCCAAGCACGTGAGCTCCCGTTTTGTTGCGATTGTCTCTATATTTGCGAACCTTTGTTCTTGTGTGCTCACTATGGCATCTTCGGCTTCTCGGTTCCGGATGCCGGCTTCGCTGTTTATGCTTCCCATTTGCTGTTTGTTTGTTCCTCCTTGTATGTGCGTTTCTGTATAATTCTGTCTCACCTAGTCGGTTATTAATTGATTGTCTTATTGTAGTTCACCCGTTCACAATAATAATGATACTAAAGTTTTCAGATGAAACGATAATAGTTCTCGAGCTGAGATCTGATCATTTTGCAAACTTTATGATAGAGAAGTTTAATTCGAGCGCTGTAGTGTTGATCTTTGTTAACCTTGCGGAGACGACGAACATTTGACCACCTGTCCCCATATTCATCCCTTTTGATTTGAAAATGATACCTTGTCCGTATCATGCACAATAAGGGCGATAACGTGAAGAAACAGGAATGGTATAACTGAAGACATGTTTAACGAAACGGTGATGGGATTAATTATAATTCACGCAACGGGTTAAACAATTTCACGGGATGAACTAATATTAAAAAGTGAGCATTAACTGAAATTTATGCTTGATATGACAACCGACTAGGGTTATCAAGGAAACTTTCGTAACATTCGACACTAGTTATTTGGGAGGTGCAAAAATCCTAGTGTTGTCGCTGAGTAATCAGTCAAAGACCAAAGGAGATTGGGGCAAATGAAGGATTGGACGCTGGTTTTCAAATGGGATAGTGGATGGTGCATGTGCTGCTTATATTCCTCAGGGATTTGCGCTGCATCGGAATATTATGGAACTAAAGGGATCAATTGAGACGAGGGAATGGGGTATAGCACAGCAGTCTAGTCTGCATGAAGGAAGGAAATATGATATAGACGATCACTGAAGAGGAGGAAGCGTATGCTGAAGACACATGGAGTGCTGATTGGATGGCGTAGGGGTAAGTGCCTGTGGGTGTATCTTGTGTAACCGCTGCAGTTCGGACACATAGGGCTTAAGCATTCGCACTGCAAATGAAAGGCAGTGTGATGGGTGGACCGATTGTGACACAAGTTATGCAGCGAGGGTTGTTCCTTACATTTCGCTTTGGATACATAATTCTATATCGACTGACCACAGTTGTGACTCAGTGAATGCCATTCTCCGTTTTTGCCTATTACATTGACATATTTAGACATGGCTTCTAGGGCGGATAACTCGGTAATGTCTACCTAATTTTACGAAGCGGTCGAATCAATTAACTACATGACTGCCTTCGGCGACCTGTACAACGTTCCATACAATTGCCACATGAGTCAGCCCATTATATCATTTGCTTTCAGAGTAGTTATGTTGCCTCATGGTAGACAAGATTAAGCTGCTGCAGTTTCTGTTTTCACCGGATTTTTAAATGTCTATCGAATACATCGAATACAATGAGCTCCTAATTATCCTTTAAGAATGATTGCATAACCTCGCTGCCTTCCCACACACCTCCGGTTGTTTTGGTTCCGTTCAACTTTCCCCACCACTGTGGCATCGTCCCACCGAGCAGCTTCTTCGTACTTTCACTTAGGCTCGTGAATGTCTCGCGAAGCAATTGTCTGTCCCTGTTCGCGTGGTGCAAGTCTGGTTTCAGAACCAGCGTGCTCGGGATAAGCGTGCTCTAAGTCAGCAGCATTGTCAAAACCACCGACCGCACTCCAATTGGACTATTGCCCAAGAAAATCACCCAGCCGCCAGCTCCACTGACGCAAGTCTCGATGGGATGACAGGTCACACTTCCGTGCAAAGCGGTGAGTGTCTTCTTATTCCGTCAGCACCCATGAATCCCAATTTTCTTTTCAGTTTACCCGAAGTCTTTTTTGCCTCACATTTAGCCATGATTGTTCGTTTAACTACCTGGGATCCGATAACCGTAATGCGGTGAACGTAGTTGCTTTGATCCCCATCCTTATGGTTAAAAACTTTGCTATCGCTTTCAGCGGACGTCAATGTGGTTAGGTAGCTACTTTGCAGGAACGTGACACGCATGATGTGCAGTGAATATCGGGCGTTTTTCATTCGCAATCTTCCGGCAGCATAATTGTGACTCAAACCCTACACTTAGGGTTTATGTCTTTGTCTCTTATTTCTTCGCCCGTAAACTAAAGGGAACCTGCGAGTAGCACTTGTCACAACTTTTGTCCTCGAGTTGTGCTCATTTGAAGCAATTATTGTGTTCAGTGCAATGCATGTCGACGGTCGACGGCGACTATTCTTTCCGAAAATTCATCGTTGGAATCTTTTTCTAATTTCATGTCCTCTTCGCGCTTTGAAGGTGATCCGAAAGCAGCGTTGCTCAAGTGCGGACAGCCTCTGAGGAAGTTGGGCTGTTCCGCAAACTAGTGGCCTAGTCACAGATGTTCTGGTTCCAGTTTGGACAGCATTATTGACACAATGTCAGTGTGAGTGGCTTACTAATAGTGCTGACATCCTTTCATTACACACTCTACCTTGAGTCGTTGGGATTGGTGGGACTAGTGGGTTTACCTGTTAGTCGTTGTGTCTGTTTTGTTGGCCTGAGGCAAATCGCTGGCGTTGTCCACAGAACTTTGTACATAGCCTCTAGCTGCAAATGTTTATTGATTGAGTTCAGCTGTGCATTGGCATTGGTGGTTTCTGTTCACGTACATGGAATAGGCCTTGTATCCCACATGTTATATGTCTCAGTCTTCCGGGGGATTTTATAAATCACATCAAATCACTCCCACTCGGCGCTCCGATGCCTTAAAGTCCAACGCTGTGGTGTTAACCACGAATTACACTCTTCCCCACGTCTTGGCTGTGTTCGTTTGGGTAATATCATCGATCATCTAACCTGGCCTGTTTATTGCACTGTCTTACCCTATATCACCGACTGTCTCTTCCTGAGTCAGGTTGCGCTTGACCCTTGGTCAATGCACTTTCTGGTACGGTGACCTCGTCATTCTGACTGCTGTATATTTTCCAATAGCAAATAGAACAACTGACGACGAGACTGCTTGCTCATGAATAATTAACCTAATTGTTTTAGCAACATCATGGTTATTTCTAACGCAAACATCGCGTCATCCCTTAACGCGATCAAAGACACTCCTTCTTGTGCCATGCACGCACAGTGAAATCTTCATCCGTAAATCTAGCACCCACTACGACAAAACCCGGCCCTTTGTATGGCAACTTCCAAACCACGGCATACACAGGCAACTTTTTCTTGACATCGACACTTCATTTTTTGATTACTTTTATCACGCTGTTCCGTCGCGTCACTGTTCAACCAGCCTGTAGTTCACTCAGCCCAACGCAAACAGTAGATTTCTAGCTACTTTATTTGCTGGCGCATCAGAGTCTCGAATTAGCCGTTGCATGGGGTTCACGTTTAGCAGGTTTTCAGCTCGTTTTCCGATAGCCTGAGCAAATTCCTCTTTGGTCTCAAGCACACGGAATATCCGTGATTGAATGCATGTCCCATGCTAGCTCCTAACATATTGCTTTCCTACTGTACTATTGTACAATCTTAGCTCCAATTTTCCTTCGGTTCAGAGAGCATCTACTGCATTATCCGTACGTTAGATAAATAACTAAATAAATGGTAAATTTCTCGGCATTTTTAACCACAGACCGATTACATGGTATGACATATGTTTTGCTGCTACCCAATGTCTCTCGTAGTCTTTCTTCGGCAGTCGGACCGCAACAAATTCTCAATCGCAACCGAAGTCTGCACAAGACGGCAGAATACGTCAGTTTCAGTAGCACGAAAATTACGAGGGTCATTCAATAAATAAGGTGAATTTTTCGGTATAAGGATTTCTAATCCAGATAGAAGCTTACTTTTTGTTTATTTTTGTTGTTTTACGTCTTTTTCACATGGATGTAATCTCTTGCAGATTGAAAAGAACTTTGAGAGTTGTAGCGATTAACAAGGATGGCCGACCAAAAAGCATGCTCCAGGATTGAACAGTGGTCAGTTATCAAGTTTCTGGTTGCCGAAGAGTGCAAACCAGTTGAAATTCATAGGAGAATGTCAACTGTGTATGGTGCCACATGTTTCAGCCGAAAAATTGTCTACAAGTGGGCAAAACTGTTTAAAGAAGGACGGAGCAGTGTTGAGGATGAAGACAGACCTGGGAGGCCTACAGAATTGAGGTCTCCTGAGGTGATCGAATCAGTCAATGACCTCATTCAGTCGGACAGAAGGGTGACAGTGGATAATATGGACAATTTTGTGTACCGCCCCAACAGATAAGCTCAAAGTCCTTGCAATGTCATTCACTGTCACCCTTCTGTCCGACTGAATGAGGTCATTGACTGATTCGATCACCTCAGGAGACCTCAATTCTGTAGGCCTCCCAGGTCTGTCTTCATCCTCAACACTGCTCCGTCCTTCTTTAAACAGTTTTGCCCACTTGTAGACAATTTTTCGGCTGAAACATGTGGCACCATACACAGTTGACATTCTCCTATGAATCTCAACTGGTTTGCACTCTTCGGCAACCAGAAACTTGATAACTGACCACTGTTCAATCCTGGAGCATGCTTTTTGGTCGGCCATCCTTGTTAATCGCTACAACTCTCAAAGTTCTTTTTCAATCTGCAAAAGAGATTACATCCATGTGAAAAAGACGTAAAACAACAAAAATAAACAAAAGGTAAGCTTCTATCTGGATTAGAAATCCTTATACCGAAAATTCACCTTATTTATTGAATGACCCTCGTATTTTCTGACCAGTTTTGTACAACGCATCAACCAATCATCTATGACCGACCCGTCACATGGGTTAGTATGCGACAGTCGGGCATGTGCGCGCGCATTTGAGGACAGTCAATAAGCAGAATGAGTCTGTCAACCAGTGATAATCTCAGGGATACCACAGTGCTTTCACTTTACTAGCTCTTGCGGTATCCATTAGCTTTTCTGCTTGCTGCTTGTACGTCTTTTGCATGTCGGCCTCCCAACCTCTGTTGAGCTTGACACATTTGCGGCTCATCCACTGATAGTGTAAGTAGCGCGCTGTTATGCCCACCGGAGTCCCCATTGACTGCAAAGTGATCTTTCATCCACTTCACTTTATTTGCACACTTACATGGTGACTTCAACCACATACCGTGTGCGTTTCACGCATATTGCTCGAAGTTGTGATAACGTGATCAAACAGGGGACGGTGACTCCTGGGCCGATGCATCCAACGTGCAATGTGCCTTTAACCCATGGAAGACTAAGTCTTCCTGATTCTCTTTACTGTGTGCCGTACATACTTGGTATCGGTTGGACCAAAGACTATTGCGCTCGATTGCGTCAATTCACATTGTGATACTTACTCGACCTACAGGTTGTGATTGTTTCAGCAATAGACGCTGCCCGTCTACAGAATTGAAGGTTGAACTCCTATGTCTTCGGAATTACACAGCGGACCATAAATGGCAATAATTTTTACACACTTAGCTTGTAGGCGACGGTTGGGTCAGGTTGCTCTCGTATCCTCTAACCATTCAGACACCGGAATATCGCAACGTAGACTCTGTGTTTACGTGGTACTCCAGCCACTTTCCCATTCCAGTGGAAGCAACTCGTTTTGTTTACTTGTCTGTATCTCACTGCTCGCCACAGTATACGCCATATCGATCCTAAGGAGACCGAATTCCTTGACGATCTCTACTGGCATTTCAGAAGTAGATGTTGTTTGAGCTCCCCGGTGTGGATGCGCTTGATGTGCATGTTGACAAGGTGCCTACATGTCTATTACCCACTACCTCGTCCATACTGGCTCCAGGAGACAGTTGGTCGTTGCTGGAGGGGACGGGGTGCACGGTCCTTGTGGCCGTGCTAGGCTCGAAGAGTGGCTCCATGCACTCAGTGTGGAGCGGACTACGGTCCAGCCACCGCCTTGTGTGCGCTTGATTTCCCAAATACAGCGTGCTTGTGTTTGCCTGTGAAGCAGTGTGGGCCGGCTCCGTTGATGAAACGTGGCTCGCATCCACATGCCTCCCGGTCTTATTCCTTCGGGTTTACACTGGATATGTGGTGTGTGGTTGGAGCTGTGGGTGGTGCAGCGCAAGCCATCCATGGTCCCTCTGTAGGCGCAGGCGTCCTGTGGCTGGCCACAGTGACAGGCAAATCCGAAACCGGATGCAGCCAACCATGTATGTACGTATGTGCCTGTGCAAGGAACTCTTAGCCTGACCTCCAAATGAAACCCATACATGTTTGTTCATGCGGACTAATGTGTCTCTGTCTAGTTTGTGACATTTAATAATGAAGTCCGTGGAAACACATGTGCATATGTTGTATTCGAACTGCCATTGGACACAGATGACGCCAATCTATGTATATATGTATACCGAATGAATTCCACGAGGATACTAATACCGCTTTTGTACGGTTCACTTAGTGTAGTGAAACGGCAATCGAGGAAACCGGAAATAACCTTACTGGAACATGAAGAAAGTGAGTTTATGACAAACTCATGTTGATTTCAGGTGTTGCGAACCCAAGGAAAATTTGATCGATGCGAACTCCGTGGACTGGTCATAAGGGCGGATGCTCAGGTGCAGGAGAAGGTACTATTGCACGCGGAATAGAAGCATGATACGTACGCTCCCATTCGATTTACTAATCCAGGCCAAAAAGGCGTCGTATGTGGTACGTTTGCTTGCGTGCTGAGTAATCTTGCATTTCAGAAGTAGATATTGTTTGAGCTCCCCGGTGTGGATGCGCTTGATGTGAATGTTGACAAGTTGCCTACCTGTCTATTACCCACTACCTCATCCATAC